GCCCAGCCGCCTCCTGCGCGCCAGCAGGGGCCTGGGCGTCGCCGCGGGGCTCTCCCCGCACAAACCCTGCGCCGCGCTGGCGCCCGCCGGCAAAAAGAAGCGGAGCCTCCGCGCCAAGAACCGCGTGCACCCCACGGTCAAGTAGCCGGAGCCGCGTCGGGCATCCCGGGAGGGATGGGGCAGGAATGCCGCTGCGAGGGCGGCGGGGCGGGCAGGCAGGCAGTGCCTGCGAGCCGCAGCCCCCGGGCGCTGGAGCCGCGGCCGGCGCGGAGCCCCCGGCCCCGCGTCGCTGCCGCCCCGCGCGATTCTGCAGCCTCCCTTCCTGGTGCTCCCCAGCAATTGGGGTCTGTTGGAAGAGGCTGAGCCTCCGTCTGCGGAGGCTGGCGGGGGTCGCAGGCTGGAGGGGGAGGCTCCGTGGCCAAGCGCTGCCCCGGCTGCGAGCGGGCGCCGCGGGGCCCCTCCGCACCCCGGCTGCGCCGGCGGCACCGGCCCCGCTCGCCGACCACACGCACTGTGGAGGAAAGCTACAGCTTTCAAGAAGTTATTTAACCAAGGGTTTTTTTGTTTTGTTTTTTTTAAGGTATAAATATATATATAGCTATAGGTAAACGGTATCTACACCCAGTCAGTTAATTCCAGTATTGGCTTTTATGCTCCAGAAATGGGTACTATGATGTGTATTTAAAGAGGCCCCCCCTATTTAAAGCAAGCGCCCTCGGGAGCTGCGCCGGCGCGGGGGGGTCGCGCCGCTCCCCCCCGGCGGGGGGGCCGCCGCCTGCGCGGCTGCTTCGCGTGCCCAGCGAATGTATGGACGGACCTATAGGGCTTGTCGTGGTTTACTTGTTCGTATGTACTGCCCAGCACTTTAAACAACGCTTTCCTCAGCTACCATGGACACGTGCGAGCTAACAGGAACGGGGTAATATAGCACAGAGCAGTATTTTTGTTTTTGAGCCTAAGTTGAAATGGGCATTTCCCCCAAAGCGAGCGCGGCGCGGCCGGGGCCGGGTGGGCGCCAGGGCAAGCACAAACGCAGCCCGCGCGCTGAGGCCCCCGGCGCCCCGGCCCCGCGCTCGCTTTGTCGCTGCCATTTCAAGTTATGGCTAATGTAAGTAATTTATATGGGTTTCTAAAATGTATATATTTTTGTATGTTTGCTATATTTTCATAGCATCGGTACCGCGTTTGGAACATGTAGATAGGAGACAGAATACTATTGTCAGAGTTATTTAAGGGATGTATTGCGTGCTGCGTGGCGGGGCCGGGCCGGCGGCCGGGCCGGGGCGCGGGAGGCCGCGGGGACCCGCGGGTGCTGCAGGGTCCCGTGAGCGCCGCCCCTGCACCCTGTTTCACAGCCCGGCCGCCGCGGGGAGCCTGGGTGGCCGCAGGGAGGCCCTTGAGCCGGGTCTGAGGTGCCAGGGGGCCAGAGCCCCCGGTGCTGGCGAGAGGCTGTTGCGAGGCTGCCGGAGGACGTGCGCGGAGGACGGAGCGTTGCCGGGACGGGGCGAGCGCCGAGGGCTGCGGCTCCAGGCCGAGGGTCTGGGGGGCTCGGGCGGCCAACTGTGGAGCGGATGGAGCCGGGCGAGCGGAGCGCAGGGCGGACACGTCAGCGCCAGGGACTCTGCTCCGCGTCTCCCCTCGGAGCCAAAGACTCCGCGTCTCGGGCTGGGCCTGAGTGTGGAGGCGGGAGAGTTTTCCCCTTGCAGGGAAGGCAGCCGCCGAGCGGACAAAGCGAGGCCGTGGTCCGGGCCGGGTGCCGGACACCCGCAGGACACTGGCCACCACGGAAGGGAAGGGAGAGGATGAGCCCAGGCGGGCACTGGCTTTCAGGAACTTCTTGCAGTGTTTCGAGGAATTCAGGTACTTCTTGCAGTGTTTCGGGGAATTTCAGGTACTTCTTGCAGTGTTTTGGCTTCCCCGAGGGGAGCCCCAAGTACAAGGTTTGTATCTCAGCCTGCGTCTCCCAGCGCTGTAAAGGCCCAAGCAGGAGCCTGGGCGCTCCTCAGCACCCGGGCGCAGCTGGGCCGGCTCTTGAGAAGAGCGGTCGCGAGCCCTGGGCCCTGGCCCCTTAGGAGGATGAGGATGGTGACGGGCGCGAGGCGAGTGGGCTCCGCGCGTGTGAGTGAGTGGATGCGAATGACTGACCAAGTGCTTCTTCTAAGCAAAGAGGAGCAGAAACAGGATACGCTAAAAGACAACTGCCCTCCTCCTCCTCCTCCTCCTCGGGGGAAGGACGGAGAGCAGCTCTGCCGCCCCGCCGGGGCTCGGGCCCCCCGGCACCGCGCGGCCCCCGGCTCGCGCCAGCGCCGCCTCCTCGCTGCGCGGGGCTGTGGCCAGAGGCACCCGCGGCGCCTTCCTTATTTATTGCCTTAAGGCTCACAAGGATGCACCAGTATCAAGCTGCTTCAGGAAACGCTCTATAGCCGCTAGTTAAAAGGGGGAGAGGGACTCTCACCTCCGTGCTTCTTTTTTACAGCAACGGATGATCATGACCAGTATGTAAACTGTTACTGTCGGGTTAGCACTTCACTGCAATAAATGTACCGCATTTTGTAACTGGGGGGTGTTTCTTAAAAAATGACAAGGTCAAATAAAAGATGACTGCTACAACGGGGCTCATGTGCTGTTGTTGGAGTCGGTGCAGGCCCAGACCCCCTTCCTTCTACCTGCAAGTGCTGAGAGAGAGGCAAGCCCCTCTTCCCGGGCACACCTCGCCCCAGCTCCTGTCCCTCCAGCTTTAAGGGGGCAACAGAGGGATTTCCATTATTACTGGACCCAATGTGCGTCTTTGCAGGCCAGCCAGAGCTCACGGCTCATACAAATATTTTATTTCCTCAATGACTTAAACACTCAAAACACGACATACACCTAGAGCTCCCAAACAGTCTCCCCTCAGGCACCCCTCCGTGGCCGCTGCCTTTGCTGCAGCGCCGTTCTGGGGCTGTGCTTTGCCCTGAGCCCGGTCCCACGGCTCCAAGCGGGAGCGGAGGTGCTCGCAGGACGGAGCAGCCCTGTGGCCCGCAGGGCTGTGTCTGAGCCCATCGTGCCAGGAGCTGGCAGCGAGCGCTCAGCCCGGGCCGCAGGGGAGGGCAGGGGCCACGACTCATTCCCGGCTGATGCCACAATAACACGTCAAGGCTCTTTTGGAAAGGGGAGGATTACGCGTGTGCGGCGGCAGCCTCACCAGCTGCACCCAAGGACAAGCATCATCCCCATGGAGCCGGCAGAAGGTCTGACCCGAAACACAAGGGCTGGCCCCAGCTCAGGCCTCACAAAGCCGGGCCTGGGCTCAGGCCATCTGTGGCACAAGGGATCTGGCCACCAGCCCCACGGGCAGCACCCGCTGCCCTGCTCTGCCTCCCGTTTGCAAAACCGTTTCTGCTGGGGGAGAGGGCTCAGAGCGGTGCTCCCGCAATGGAGAGCTGTCCCTGCACGTGTGAGCCCTGTATGGGGTAGGCACCTTCAGAGTCCAAGCTAGCTCTTGCCAAAGCGGCAGAACAAGGCTGAGTGCTGAAGGGCACTGAGGCCTGGAGAAGAACTGACATTCCAGGATGCTTGGAAACCGTGGCTGCGTTTTCAGTCCCATGTAGTCAAACCTCAATAAAGGTGCCCAGATTCCCCTAGTTCCTGCCCTTCCAGCTCTGTGAAGACATGCAGACCACACACACAGCCTTGGGGTTTGCTCCCACCACACACCGGTGTCAGAAGGATCTAGAGAAAGTTTTGCAAGGAAGGTGCCAGCAGAGACGCAAGCCTTGAACCAGCGCAAGCCCAATAAAACCAAAGCAGCGAGTTGGTCCCTCGGAGCAGCTGCTGGGGCTACGCTGCCCGTGTTGGACAGCTGGGGCAAGGCGAGACCAGGAACCACGGCCGAGCCTCGTGGGCCGGCTCGCGGGCTAGTTCACATGAGAGCAACACAGGCAGTGGTGCCTCGGCCAAACCCTCCTCATCCTCGGCCACGCGGCCCCACGGAGCCGGCAGGCTGGGCAGAGCCTGCCCTGGGCTTACACAAACTCCGTGAAATCGTCCACCGAGGAGATCAGCCGCTTCCTCTGCCCCGTCTCGTAGGTGGGTGGAGGGTCCTGAGGCATTTGGGGAGGGGGCTTTGCTGGCGCTGATGGATGCATTTGCAAGGGGAGGCCAGGAGTCTGGTACTGCGTTTCCTCACGTAGCTAGAAGTCAAATGAGAACCGGTAAGCTTCCTGTTCACCCCAAGCTGTTTGGGAGCATGTCCACATCCACATGTGTAGGTCTAGTCCCCATCTACATCATTATACTTGCCATCCCCACAAGAGCAGCTTTCTAAACCTCCTGGACACACTGACACCCCCCCCCCCCCCCCAACCTCATTCTTGCCCCAGTTGCATTAAGGGTGTGTTGGCAGAGCCCAGTTTCACACATAAGGAGAACAGAGCACACAACTTACGCGGTGTCTTAGCCTCTTGATATGCCGTAGCCTCGCAATCCACTTGGACGGGTAGGTGTCAGTAGGGTTGGAGCGACTGTGATGGACCTGGGAAGCCATCTAATGAGGGAGAGGTGGAGAAAGGAGAGAGCAGGCACTGTAGTGTAACTGTGACAATAGAATCAATGGACCATGTTAATGCAGTTTGTCAGGCACCACAATCAAGTTTAACTGTTCATGCGCCACCTGTGACTCAAGGGTTCCTTAACCCCCCACAGCACAGAGGCTCGTGTTTTAGGAAGCCCTGCTCCTGTGGACTCCCCGGGCAGCCAGGATGGACCTGCATGGCAGGAGGCTCCCGGCGCTCTGGGCTACTCACGTTAGCGTGTAGGGCCATCTGACGTGCTACAAAGGGCAGGTTCTTATCAGAGATGATCTTAGCAACACTTGTGTCCACAAGTCCCTCCATATCTTTGTTTTAAAGAAAAAAAAAAAAAAAAAACCCATGTAAAGCACAGTTTGGAAAAGAACAAGACCAATGTTGCTAGTAATTAAATGTACAAGTAATATGCAAGCATGAGGATTTTCAGTACAGAATCTCAGCAGTTTTCACCAAGCCCTACAGCTCCAGCTGCAACAAAACTCACACTGCAACTTAATAAAAGCAGCTCTTAAATTCTGGCTGCTTCTTAAAGGTCTGATGACAGCTGCTGGGTCCACTATCCCATAAATCAAAGGCG